CTCGCGCCCCGCAGCAGCCCGGCGCCGAGCCAGGCTGCAGCCGAGGAGGCAAGACCTCCTCAAACCCTTCCAAATCCCTTCCCGTTCGCAAGAATTACAGGTTCTGCCAGGCACTGCCCCCAAGATGCACATTACTCTATACAGCAGATCTAGCTAAATTAGCACGTTATATGTCTTAGTCGACAGTTTCAGAGCCTAGCCTGGTTAATCCTGAACTCCTGCCTAGCCTTTCGTGGGGTCGGATCCGCGATCACATGCAGCGGCTTACTGCAAAACGCAACCAATGTTGGCGGCGCGCGCAGGCTCGGTATGACAACCCCGCGCGAGGCTCTGCCTCGCAGGGGACGTACCCTGTTGCCTGGACGTATTCCAGCTCCCAGAGACTGGTTTAGCTAGGCTTAACTGGATCAAAGCAAAACCACAGAGAGTTTTCTTTGATAGTAACATGGTCACTATGGTGACTATCGATTATATACGGGTTTCATATCTAGGCTGCTTGGGCTGAGTTAAACCCATGTATTTTCTTCTCAGTCTCGTCTATCCCTTTTAAGAGTTGTGTCAGAGGTTAATATTTAGAGGTCCTGAAAAAAAACAGGCCGTAGCTAAATAGAAACAAAGCTGACACGATCATCTGCTCTAAAAAGCTGTAAGTCATTGCGAATTTTTCTGTTTAGTGGAATGAACGCTCCCAAAGGACTTTGGGGTAATTCTGGAAGCAAGCCATATCAATAAAAACCTGCTACGGCTATCCTGTAACTTGGCACTATAAACAACCTTCCAAAATCTAGCAATCAGGAATTACAATGCAATAGTAGCCTGGAAGCTCAACACACCCAGAAGCAGCGAACGTCAACGGAGGGGAGGGAAAGAAAGGGAGAGCTTTTGGAAAGCTGCGAGCTGGAGGAAAGCCAGAGCCCAAGCGCAATCACTTGGACTGAGTCTGCATGAATGAGGAACCGAGGGCGGCACTTGGCCGACTCGCCGGCGTTGCAGGGTCAGCGAAGCAAGCCTACGTCCCCCGGCCTCGCCGGCAACCCAGTGAGCAGCTGCAGTGAGCTTCTCTGCTGAATGACCTTAGAGCCCAGCATTAAGTTCACCTTTGCACTGTCAAAACACATCTAGCTCTCTAAAAAGGAACTGAAGCCGCTGGCAGCTTTCCAAAGCGCTGCAAAGTGTGAACAACCTCGCAGCTTCCCACAAAACTAATGCTAGGAGGATTTTAATTTTACAGATGCAAACGCCATGCCAGAAGTCTTGCATCTGCGCTCCTGAACGTAATAAGGCAGCACTTGACCATAATCGCATCAACGTTTATCAGAGCTAAGCACATCTACGGCGATTACGCAAGCGTTGGGATCTCCTACTTCGCCTGAAGCCGTGAGTAAGCACTTCGTATTTCTGCTCACTAAAGAAAAAAAGAAAGATTAAAATTTCTAGCAAATTTGCAAGGCCTGCCGTTATACCCAAGCAAACGCAAAGCACCTGAACTCAATTGGGGCAGATGGGGAGGTGAGCAAGTTACAGCAATATATATAATAAAGCGGTGTGTTGTTGCATAGATGCATATTTATACATCTCCCATGCTAGAAGATTTACTGTTGCTACAGAATTTTTTTGAAACACCAAACCCATCCCCAAAGCAACAGCAACGTTTCCCATTCTCAAGGAGGGCCAGTGCCCTGACGTAGTATGCTAAAAAAAATAAAAATAAATAAACAAACCTCCAGAACAGACAGACTGGAAGAAAAGGACTGCTAAACAAGAAAGGGCAGCCATATGCATTGAAAGAAGCCTCTTGCTCATAAAAGCAGAAAAAATACAGGTATAAAACGGATGCTCTCATTATTACCCGGCTTTCATACAGCTCAAGGACATCTCCAATCTGTAAGGCAACTTTTGGCTTGCTTGGAAGAAGAAATAGGAACTGCTTTGATAACTACATGCGGATAAAGAGCATTGTTGTCTGCTTATATCCTTTAGCCTTTATTTTGCGGCTATTCATGGGTAACTAGCTCAGGTACTTAAGCTTCAACTCCCTAGAGTAATATTTTCATTTTTTCGTAGTATAAGATTATTAGCTATGCTTCATGATCTTAGGTCTTAAAGACTTTGAAATCCACTTTGAAATTCCTGTTCCAATCACAATTTTAAGTCTGCACTGTTACGGAAAAAAGGCTTCTACGTCCAACAGCAAATTTCACAGCGTGACCAAAAAAAGAAAAAAGAAAAGAAATCACTGGAAAATTGCATAGCTAGCTCAAATCCTGCCAAGGAGGCAAAGCACTTAAGATCTGAATGCAGTCTAATAAGGATTGGCTCAGAAATCATACAGGAACATGAAGCCTTTGCACGGCTCCTTATTCCCACTGCTTCTCCCATGGCACAAAGAGACACCACAGCGGATAACTCAGCTCCCCCAAAATGTGAGGAAATTGCATTATTTTCTGGGCTTATTGGATTACTACACATGCTTAATTCCCATTTTGGCCGCAGAACCGAATCCTCATCTGACCTGACAGAGCAAGGCTAAAACCTGGGGTTTAAGAAAAGGTGATAATAAGATCTTTGCTGCCATGCTGTGTGGCATTGCTATCGCTATGGGATTTTTTTCAAAGAGCCCGACACGCACGCTACATCAGAGCGGTTTGCATGGGCACCCAGCCCCTACATCGTCCTAAAGCAGAAGGAAAAACAACTAAACGGCCCGGCTAATACATAGCCTGGTGTAGACTGGTTGCTTTTTTAAAGCTTTAGTACATAGCTATGGTTATGTCCCAAATTTTCAGTCTGGTGCTAAAAATGGAGATGGTATAATATTATTCTAAGGGAGTAGCACCATTAGGTCAGAAAATGAAGAGACACGAAGGCATTCTCATTTCAAGTTGACAAATGCTGGCGTCACTTCCTATTGAAAAGGGTAAGGAAACCGTTCACAGCTGAGGTAACTTAACTTCCATCATACCAGGGGCACCATAAACATCAGCTGCATCCCTAAAATTTATTTGCAAATGCACTTGGAAACTCCCAAGCTTTGGCACCTGAGATATTGGTCACGTCAAGGCAAGCACCTACCCACAAAGCGGAGGGTAAGAGACCTCTTCAGAAAGGGAAGGGGGAGAGATCTTCTCTCCTTGCTCTGCTTTTTTCTCCTTTTGCTGATCCCGCTTCTCACCAATAACCTCCTAAACTCATCTGGTCTCCTCCAAAGTGAAGCCCAAGCATCCTCGGTTTTTCAAGTGCGACCAGTGCGTTCACCTGCCCGAAGCACATTCAACGTGGTGGTGCAGCTGCCCGCCCCGTGCACAGCCGTGATTCATGGCCAGGTTGACCACAGCTA